CAATGATGGCTGCAACCAAAAAATGGCCAGGCGTTGTGGCGGGCACCTGTAGTCCCAGCTACTTGGGAGGCTGAGGCAGGAGACTCGCTTGAGCCCAGGAGTTGGAGGTTGCTATGAGCTGTGATGCCTTGGCACTCTACCCAGGGGGATAGCTTGAGGCTCCGTCTCAAAAAAAAAAAAAAAAAAGGTTGGCAGAAATGATAGGCATGAGCCAGGCACAGTGGCTCACGCCTGTAATCCTCGCATGAGGTGGATCATTGAGCTCAGGAGTTCCAGACCGGCCTGAGCAAGAGTGAGACCCATCTCTACTAAAAATAGAAAAACTGACCGAGCCTTATGGTGCACACCTGTAGTCCCAGCTACTCAGGGGGCTGAGGCAAGAGCATGGCTTGAGCCCAGACATTTGAGGTTGCTGTGAGCTATGATGCCACAGTGCTCTAGCCTGGGCAACAGAGCGAGACTCTGTCTCAAAAAAAAAAAAAAGGTAAAAAGAAATCATGGGCATGGGCACATGTGGGAGAGGGTGAGAGTGGGACAGAGAGGAAGTCTCCTTGTCCAGAATCTATCAGACCAGATCAGAACCTCCATAGGTGGTCTTCAGGAAATTTGAGCCCCCTAAAATGATAAGGGCAAGAGCGTCTTGTGTGTTTGGTTTTTCAGGGAGATGGTCCTTCCCTTCATTCTATCTTCAAAGGCATGTGGTGGGAAGAAAGGGCTTAGAGTCACTGAGACTCTGTCTCCCTTGTCCAGTGTATGTTTGGAGACTTGCCCAGCAAAGTGTGATTTCAGAAACTGGAGGAAGAAGTGGTGGGGGTGGCCGCTGTGGGCTCCTAGAATCACAGTGTGCTGGAGACGGGAGAGGCTCGGGGTGTTTCCGTCCAGACCTTGGCTCCATGTGGCAGAGGCTAGGGCGGCTGTCTGCTTCTCTCCTGGATGTCGTCTCCTGCAGGACAGACCCCACCAGGCCTCACATCCTGGCTCACCTTCCTCTCGGCCTCTCAGCCTCCTGACACCCTTGCTGGGCAGACAGTCTCCCCATCCCGGTCTGCTCATCCCTTCCTCTGATCCCCCTCCTCTTCCTAGCCCCTTAACTGTGTGCTCAACCTCACAGTCCATCATTATCAACCTCCTCTATGCTCCTGTGATGCCCCCAACTGACGCTGTCCCCTGAGGACACTGTTTCCCTCACACTGTCCCCAGTGGGGCTGCTCTTCTCCCACCCACCACATCTGTGGGGCCTGGAGACGGGTCCACACTCTAATCACTCTCCATTACCTCCCCAAACCACACCTCTTCCTTCATCCTCAGCATCCCCAGCCCCTTTGAGTGCTTGTCCCCTTTCTGTACCACTGGCTCCCCCTTCTCAGTGCCGTCACTGGCTGCTGCCTGGTCCTCACATGCCCTGATGCACCCCAGCTCCCGTGCTCCCTCTCACCTCACTGGCTGAGCATCTGTGGAGATCAAAGGTCCCCTTGGAGGCATATCGGAAATGGATGGGCTTCACTTGTTTGCCTGTAAACTGTACCCCCAGATTTATATTGACTTTTACATTGTCTAATTATAAATTACATCCTTTTTTATTTTTTACATTATCTGTTAGGGAGCTATGTTAATTTTTTTTAAATCATTGCAGATTACAATATGTCAGCATTGAAAAGGGGACATTAAAATATATTTGCTATGCAAAGGGGACATTGGTCTGACAGCAGTGAGGAGGGCCAGTGCATTAATTTCTCCAGCTCCCTGACTCCTCTTTTACTCCAAAGACCTTTTTCTCCAGCGCACCTCAGCCTCTAATCACAGGGTCACTTCCTAGTGACCGGTGACCACCGCACTTCCAAAATCTGGAGTTAAACATCACTCTCCAGCCATCACCACCCACAGTCTTTGCAGTCCAACCCCAGCCATTCTCCAGTCTCACAGGGGAGTCCCACTATTGACCCTGTCTCTTTCCATTTTTCATCCTCCCTTTACCTTTTGTGTTCTTCCTTCTTTCCCAGCCTGGGGTCCATGGTCTGTTATGAGAAACACCCAGAAAAAGAGTCCCCACTAAGTAAACTCAACTTTCTTCTCATCCTACACATGCACGTGAGCAAGCAGCTCAAAAGTCTGGAGAAAAATCACAGCGCCAGTGGCTCGGCTCGCTTCCCGTACATGGGCTCAAATCTCAGGTGGCCACGCAATGCAGTGAGGTAACCCTAGCACATCGCCCTTGTCAAGTCAGTCTCCTACTTTCCAAGATAATGGTTTCCTACCCTTTCCTCTCTCCACCAGTCTTCTACACGTCCTCTGCTTGTCCCTTCCACCTTAGCTGATGACTTCATGGGAGAAAATGTTGCACTTGATGCGAACTACCCAATGTTCCTATTGTCCTTTCTATTGTTCTATCCCTGCTTGTGCCTGCTGAACAAATGGCTGCTTCTCACTTTACTTGGGCAGACCTCTCAACAGCATTTAAAAGAATTATTGCACACTCTTTCTTGAAACACATCCTTCTCCAGACTTAGGGGTTTCCACGCTTGCTAATGTTGCTTCTACCCACTCTTTGCCACTTCGGACCCTTCTTTGCTGGTTCTATCTCCACCAAAGCCTCCAGCAAATTTGTAAACACCCAAAGCCCAGGGCTCTGCCACTGGCCTTCTCTTTCTGGGAGATCTGTGCTATCCCCACATCTTCAAATTCCACCTCTATACTGAGGTTCTCTCTCCAGGCCAGACCTCTCCTTAAGCTTCAGGCTCAGATAGTACACTTGCCCGCCAGACCCTTCCAGCTTGATATCTGTCAGACTTTTAACATTACCATTTTAACTTTACCATGATCAAAATATAACTATTAATCACTGGAGGCCAAAATAGTGGCCCCCAAAGATGTCCAAGTCCTAATCCTCCAACTTGTTAATGCTACCTTACATGGAAAAAGACTCTTGAGATGGGGGCATTATCCTAGATTATTCAGGCTCTAAATGTAATCACAAGTGTTCTTATAAGAAGAAAGCAGAGGATGATTTGATGACAGAAGAGTAGCAGGAGCTGTGACAACAGAAGAAAGATGGAGTGATGCAAGGAAAGGGCAAAAAATAAAATTCAGGCAACTTCTAAAAGCCAAGAAAGGCAAGGAAACTGATTCTTCCCTCAAAGCTTCCAGAGAGAGCCAGCAGGTACCCTGACTGATACCTTCACACTAACCCAGAAAGGTCGATTTTTCAGTTTCTGATCTCCAGAACTCTAAGAAAATATCTGTGGGCTCGGCGCCTGTGGCTCAAGCAGCTAAGGTGCCAGCCACATACACCTGAGCTGGCGGGTTCAAATCCAGCTCAGGCCGCCAAACAACAGTGACGGCTGCAACCAAAAAATAGCCGGGCATTGTGGCGGGCACCTGTGGTCCCAGCTACTTGGGAGGTAGAGGCAGGAGAATCACTTGAGCCCAGGAGTTGGAGGTTGCTGTGAGCTGTGACACCACGGCACTCTACCCAGGGTGATAGCTTGAGGCTCTGTCTCAAAAAAAAAAAAAAAAAGAAAAAGAAAAGAAAAGAAAATATCTGTGTTCTTCTAAGCCACTAAATGTGTGGTAATATGTCACAGCAGCGATGGGAAGCTAATACACACCCTCCTACCACCAACAACCACCAGCACACACCCCCACACCCCAACCCTGGTGCCCTCTACATCTCACCCCTACCCATCCGCTGCTGACACCAACAGCTTCAGAGTTGTTGAGATTTTTCTCTTCTCTTCCTTCTCACCTGCCAGCAAGCGTTCCAGCTCTACCTCTAACGTGCACCCCGACTCCACTGGTTTCACACTGCCTCCACTGCTGGGTCCCTCACCCAGGCTGCCATCGTTTCCGACGTGAATTACTACATTGCTTCCTGCTCAGTCTTCTGCCCCTGCTCTTATGCCTCTTCAACTTATCATTCCCACAGGAACCACAGCGAGCTTAACGAAGGTCGATCAGATCACCTGTCCCCCCAGTGAAATCTAGCAATGGCTCCCATTATGTCCATACTGAAGATAAATCGCAAATTCCCCGCCGTGGCCTGCAAGGAACAGAGGATAGATCAGCCTCTGCCCACCTCATCTCCCTCCATTTCCCCACCCATTCACTGTAGTGGTCACGCTGACCTTCTGATCACTTGCACCTCCCAACACCACAGTGCTCTCTCTCCAGACCTGCACGTGGATCCCACCTTCTCATTGTTAAGTGTCGGCTCAAACATCACCTCCTCCAAAAGGCCTGTCCCACCTCGAGGACCCAACACCAGCAGCAGTCACTATTTAACCCTAGCTTATCCTCCTCATAGCGTCTGTCACTGTCTGAAATGGCCTCGTGGGTTTTGTGTACATGTCTACAGTGTCTCTCCCCTGGTATGTACGTGCTCCGAGGGTGGACGTCATCCCTCTCACATAGTAGGCAAACAGTGAATATTCATTTGCCTGGCTGTCTGGCGGGGTCTGTTTCCGACTCCATCACTGCCTCTGGCTGTCTCGACTACCTCTAAGTTCTCTCTTCTGGGAGTGTTTTTATTTCAGCAGCACTGGGCTAGTTTTGCAAGGAGTTAACCAGTGGAATTTCAGACAGCATTCAGCAGGTATGGGATGACCATGGGGTTTCTTTTATGGCGCTTTTAAAAGCACATGATTCATTCAACATCTGCTACGTAGTGGGTGCCATGGACACGCAGTGAAGGGAGCTAAAGCCTGGATGCCTCATGTTATGGCTCAATGGACGACTCTGGATGTTGTCGAGCCATGAAAGGGGCGGGCGGAGTAGAAGAAGCAGGCAAAGGCGTGGCGTGGAGGCACTCAACTGTTACGTGACCGTGGGATGGTGGCCCCTCCACCTTTTGCCCTCCAGAGACTGGCTGAGCCTAGGAAGCCAGAGATGGCTCAGAGTGGGGCCGGGGCCTACGTCCATGTGAAGTTCAGGGGCCCGTGGTCCTCCCTGGTGGCAAACTGCTTCCTCTCACGTGTCCTTGGTTTTCTCCTCTCCCTGTGCCTCAGGTCTCATCATCCACGAGGGACCCTCCGTGTATCGCATCTTTAAACGGTGGCAGGCCGTCAACCAGCAGTGGAAAGTGCTAAACTACGACAAGACGAAAGACCTGGAAGACCAGAAGTCAGGGGGCAGGACCAACCCCCGGACCTCCTCGGCCACGCAGGCCAATATTCCCCCCTCAGAGGAGGAGGCAACGGTGGGCAGCCCTGCCCCGGAGCAGGGCCCCACCCGGGCACCCAGCCACCCCTCAGACCCTCCATCCCATCACCACTGTGCTTACACCATCCTGCACATCCTGAGTCACTTGAGACCTCATGAACAGCGGAGCCCCCCGGGCAGCAGCCGAGAACTCGTCATGAGAGTCACCACTGTGTGAAAAGACAGACCTGGGAGGAAGGCCATGCCCATGCCCCCAAAGCCCTGGGACAGGTGGGGGGGCATTGGTGCCAAGGGGCTAATGCTGGGAGCAGGCAGAGGGCGGAGGGTCTGGAGGGAGCTCTGGGGAGCCAGAATGAGTCTGCACTGGAGTGGTTTTGTGATTTCCTATCAGTCATTGCCATTCTCCAGAGAACAGCGACAAAAACCAACATAAACTCCGTGAGGAAGTGCAATGCAGGCTGACCCTGGCCGTGTGCCCACAAGCAAGGGGGAGAAGCAGAGGCCGCAGGAGGCCAAGCTGACCTGGGGGTGTCAGAGGCAAAGGTGGGAGGCCATGGGGGCACATAGGAACAGTGTCTGTGGTCTGTTCTGACCTTGAGTTTGTTTCTGTTTCTTCCTGGGCCTTGTTAACAGGCATTTGGGGAAGGGAGGGATGGGTGAGGGCAGGCAGGGACATGCAGACTTTGGGGCCTCCGGGCTTACATGGGCTGGTGGGATTGCTGACTCTCATGGCTGGTAGCTGCAGGGGCCTGGGGGGATGGTGCCGGGAGGGATGGTGCAGGGGGGAGGTGTGGTGGGAGCTGCCAGAGGGACAAGTATGTCTCCTCCTTGAGAGCCTTCCAATTTCCGGTGGGCTTAAAGAGGGCTTAAGCTTGGAGGTAGGTGTTGTTCTGTGCCCTTGTTACTTTATGTTATGGTGATTTGGCTCAAAGATGTTTACAGGACACACATGCACACACACATACACACACACACGCACACTTGCCTAGAGAAAAGTACAGATTTCCAGTGGGTATCTCAAGCACAGTTTGGCCGCTGTGGCTTCAGCCTTGGAAGCTGTCAATCCAGGAGTGAGATTCTCAACTACCCAACCCCACTCATGGCCGGGACACGCTCAGTGCCATGTTCCCTCCTCCTGCCTTGGCACATGCACAGACTCAGGCCCCTCACAGCAGGGTACCCCCCACCCAGGGTCTCCCAGGGGAGCAGCTGCAGTGGTTGGGAGGAAGTTGACCAGTGCGCCCCAAGGCGCAGAGTAGAGACCACTCTAAGTATTCCTTGATGTCGGGGCCCTCCCCAAAGAGGTAATTTGGCAAATGTTCTGCGCTTCGTGTGTCCTGGTCCTTCCCAGGCCACAAAGCGGGTCCAGGGGCTTGGCAGGGAGCACTGTCCTGGGACCCTGCCGGGGAGGCCCCCAGGTCACCTGCAGAGCTTCTCCCTGTCACTGCACAATGGCCGCATCATCCGTGGGTATTAAGAGGACACTGTCAAGTACTTTTTTAAACTAGTTTTTAGGGTTTTTTTAAACTCTCTGTTGTTTGTAATATTCTCTTAAAAGCTTGAAAATAAAATTTCTTTCCCTACTGCGAGTGTCCCTTCCCATCTGTGAGTTTTCCTTTCCTCTTCCCCACCTTCCTGTGACGTAAGCTGCCTTCCTTCTCCCCCACCCCCCACACCCCCCGTCTCCTCCACTGCAAGAAATCAAGTGTGTTTTCATCTCTCCTCACAGGGTACAGATGAGGCAGAACAGGCGAGGATATTCCCTTCAGCCTGTGTGTGTGCATGTGCGTGTGTGTGTGGGCGCGTGTGTGCACATGGACCTGCAGTGAATTGCTGGGACTCCCACCCTCTTTTTGGCTTCCTAGGAGAAATCCTTCTGGTCAAAAAGAGGGGCAACTCCTAGACTCTCCCAAGTGTTCTGCAGAGAACAATTAACAGTTAAGGAGAGAAGCAGAGACCATTAACACTGGGAGGAGGTTTGGGGGGCTCCATCCTATCAGGATATTTCACAGAAGCTGAGAGGGCTACAGAAGAGGGGTGCTAGAACCTTACTTCCCTGACAGTTTTCTTTTGAAAACTCAGGTTCATGAGAGGCTTGGACATCCCTCGAGGCAGCAGACAAGGTCATTTCTCTCTGCCTACCCCCCACCCCCCCGCCCAGGCCTGCCACCTCCCCGGGGCTGGCAGGGGGTTAGGCAGTGTCATCAGTGGAAAGTGCCCAGGCTTGGGAAGATTCTTCCAGGATAAATCTCACAGTCCATAGGATTAGAAGACATAACAGTTGTCAGAGACCAAAGGGCACATACAAGCAGAACCCAGCACTGCTGTACAAATAAGCCAGGTAGGGTAGGGGTGTCCACTTCAGTGTGGGCTGGGAACAGGCCACTCTGTTCATATTCATGTAGATGTGTCACGTAGACTATTTATTTCCAGCAACATATTAGAATACAACAAATATGTGTATCATCAAAACTAGAGTAGCCATGCTGTTGTCTCTCTTTGGCGGGTTCACAGGACACTTTAGAATCTTACAGTCATCCAGGGTCATCACTCTGAATACATTCTACTGGAGAAGAGAGATTAATGACACATTCTCATAGAATGTGGAGTTGGCTGGATCTTGGTAATGCAGACTCCAAGATGGCAAAGATCTCATCTATCTCGTTTACTGCTGTATTTTTAAGATCTACAATAGTGCCTGGAACATAGTAGGTACTCAATAAATACGGGGGGGATGCCAAAAAGACATATAATGTTGGAAAAAATTGTATGAAAATTGTGATACTCAGTTCACATCTGACTTTTGCAATTACACAAGATACAAGATAGCAAACATTATTGGAATTACTATTACAGTTTTAATGCGGGTTTTTTCCTTTCTTAAAATATGTATACAGTTTTTTGGCACTGTCTGTATTTTGAATGAATAAGACACTCTTCTACAAGTACAGGAGGACCTTCGGGATTTAGGAGAACCTTCGGGATTTAGGAGACACGCCTCTTCTTCCTCCAACTTACACTCTCATGCTCAAGGTCAGTCAGAGAAAAGAAAGGAGAGGTCAGGTTCGGAGTACTGCACCCAACAAGGTGGTAATTCCGAGCCTAGGGGAATGGACTTTATAGGTTCAGAAGTGAATGAATTCGGGGTTATATTTTATATGCATATGTTTGCTCCCCACATATTTTATATGGGCAGCAAAGTAGAGGTAAACCCTGATGACCAGAGACCAAGGTCCCCTTCCAGATGTGCAAGTCATCTTTCATCTCTCCTACTATCCCATAAAGGTCTAAATTCCCCTTGGAGTTATTTATGCAGAGCAATAAGAAGTAGCCCAGAGAATTTATTTGCACAACACCTGCCAAGTATGGCCCATGGACAGGACAAGATACCAGCTAAGTAATGCCTAAAGAGCTTACTATGTGCAAGGCACCAAATTAAATGCTTTACACGTACTAAGTCACTTAAAAATTTCATAACCAGGCAGCGCCTGTGGCTCAAAGGAGTAGGGCACTGGCCCCATATGCTGGAGGTGGCGGTTTCAAACCCAGCCCTGGTCAAAAACTGCAAAAAAAAAAAAAAATTTTTTTAACCTGACGACGTAGATACCATTACTACCCTCATTTTGCAGATGTGGATACTGAGGCCAAGAGCTTAAGAAAACTGCTCATAGTAGGCAGTACCTGTGGCTCATTGGGTAGGACACCAGCCCCCTATACCAAGGGTGGCAGGTTTGAACCCGGCCCCAGCCAAACTGCAACAAAAAAATAGCCGGGCGTTGTGTGGGCACCTGTAGTCCCCACTACTCGGGAGACTGAGGCAAGAGAATCACCTGAGCCCAGGAGTTGGAGGTTGCTGTGAGCTGTGTGACATCATGGCACTCTACCAAGGAAGATAAAGTGAGACTCTGTCTCTAAAAAATTAAAAAAAATTAAAAAAAGAAAATTGCCCATAGTCACCAGCCGGGATTGCATTGTCGGCTGTCTGACTTGGATTATAACCTCTCCAGCACATTCCCTCTGGACAGCCAGCACCAATTTCAAGGAAATCTGGGCCAGTTTAGGAAAGTTTTGGAGGTTGGGAAAATTGGGAAAAAATAACCATAAACTCTTTCTGTCCCCTGCAGGGGATGGGGTGGGGGAAGCTGAGTTTATCTATCTAGTTTCATCAATTCTTGTTATCCAGATAAGACCTTGGTTGGATGAAGCCTTTATGGTAGACAATTGGCTATAACTGAAAACAAGGGAATTCTAAAAGGGCAATAGAAATAGTTCAACTACACTCTTATGGGCAAAGAGCCATATTCCATAAAGATTCAAAGAGGCCTTTCCTCCCGCAAAAAAAGAAAAGTAGTAAAGGATCCTGTATGTGGACTAGACTTTTGTCCTGGCTGAGTCTAAGTGAGTGGTGCATTGTGGGAGGTGGCGGGGTCTATCACATTCAGCATTTAGAAGGACTCCACAAATACCATGTTTCCCTGAAAATAAGACCTACCCCCAAAATAAGTCCTAGCAGGATTTCTAAGCATTTGTTAAATATAAGCCCTACAAGACCTGGTGATGGGCGTGGCTATGCAGATATGCAGCCCCAGAGTAGTAAGGAAGACTGGGGTACCTTTTATCTGCCACAACTCCTTTCTCCCAGCTGAGCCGTTGGCACTTGGCGTGGGTGTGCATGTGGTAACCGCAGTCACAGGCATCCTATTACGCACGTGCGAATGGCTAGAGGAAAGGAGTTCACACATCACTAGCGCCAGCCCCACCAATAAGGTCGGCTCTCCCTGTCAGGTCCCAGAAGAAGATGACTTAACTGTATTTGAATAAATGTAGATTGTTGTATTATACTTAATAAAAATAGGACATCCCCTGAAAATAAGCCCTAGTGTGTCTTCTTGAGAAAAAATAAATATAAGACAGTGTCTTATTTTGGGGGAAACATGGCATGAGGCCTTGTCCCTGTCTCTTGGGAAAATCAGATCTGTCACCATCTTAGGCACAGGAATTGTAAAATCATAGAATTTTGTAGTCTCTATGAGATCATTCACGGCTATTCCCTTGTTTTGCACATGAGATCCCGATGTATGACAGAGGGTAAGGGCATGGTTTGATGTGATAGTAACCAATTTCTAGGGGTAATGATGTGCTTTGCAAGCATAATTCATAATATTGTGGGGTTGAGAGGGAGGAGGTGGGGGAAGAAACACATTTTGCACAGTCCCT